GGAGCCCGGCCGCCCGGCGGCGCCGGCTCCTTCCTCCACCTCCGGCATCGATCCGGCGAGGCCGTGGCTCCGCCGGGGCACGGGGCTGCGTTCGGCGCTGCCAACGCCGGTGGCGCCTCGGGATGCTCCCGGAGCTCGGAGGGAGCTCGGATGGTCCCCAGAGCCTGGGGTGGTCCCTGAGCGGGTAGGCATCCCAGATGGTCCCCGAGATCCTGGATGGTCTCCAAGTAGAGAGGGACCTCGGATGGTCCCTGGGACTTTGGGGTAATCTCCAAGCAGGGAGGGATCCCGGGTGGTCTCCCAAACCCTAGATGGTCCCCAAGCAGAGAGGGACCCCACATGGTCTGCAAGAGCCTGGATGGCCCCCAAGCCCCCAGATGATCCCCAAGTGGGGAGGCAGCCTGGATGAGCTCCAAAGCCCTAAATGGTCCCCGAGATCCTGCATGGTCCCCAAGACTCTCCATGGTCCCCAAGCAGGGAGGGACCCTGGATGGTTTCCAAAACCCCAGATGATCCTCAAGGATGGAGGCAACCTGAATGGTCCCCCAAACCCTAGATGGTCCCCAAGCAGGGAGGGACCCCGGATGGTCCCAAGACCCTGAACAGTCCCCAAGACCCTCCATCGTCCCCAAGCATGGAGGCAGCCTGGCTGGTCCTCCAAACCCTAGCTGGCCCCCAAGACCCTAGATGGTCTCCAAGCAGGGAGGGACCCCCGGATGGTCCCCAAGACTTCAGGGTAATCCCCAAGCAGGGAGGGACGTTGGATGGTCCTCAAGAGCCCGGATGGTCCTCAAGCATGGAGGCGGCCTCAATGATCCCCAAAATGCTGGATGATCCCCAAGAGCCTGAATGGTCCCCAAGCAGGGAGGGAGGCCAGATGGCCCCCAAGACCCCAAGCGGTCCCCAAGACCCCAGATGATCCCCAAACAGGGAGGCAGCCTCAATGCTTCCCAAAACCCTGGACTGTCCCTGAGCAGGGAGGGACCCTAGATGATCCCCAAGACCCTGGATGGCCCCTGAGCCAGCAGGGACCCCAGACGGTCCCCAAGACAGCCCCGAGCAGCGAGCCCCCCGAAACATCAGCTTGGGGGAGAAGAGCTAAAACCCAGGGAGGAGCGAGAGGGGGAGGAAGACCCCCCCGGCTACGAAGCCAAGCAGCCAACAGGTGAGAACCGCCGATTTGGGGGAGAAGCAGGGGGGTCGCGGCCAAGATGGTGAGTCCCGTCCCCCAGCCCGGGGGCAGCGGGGCTGGCGGGGGGGCCCAGCGCCACCGCCGGGGGCACA